TTCGAACAAAGAACAAGCATGGAAAAGTTTATATTCTTTTCTATTCAGAACAGTCTAATTCAATAAAACAACAAAATCTAAATGAATTAATTAAATTTCTATTTTAGGTCTTGCTCGATTGGGTTTGAGTCAAAAAGCAAATCCTCAAGATTATAATGGACCTTGGGGAGAAGGAGTACAATGTCCTTACCAAAACCCTCGTAAATAACTCTTTTCTTCTACTACTGTGTTGTCACTTATTTTCTTTTTTGTTTTTTCGTTACTTTAGCTTTTCCTGATGGTACTACCGTGTATAAAGGTTCAGTTCCATCTGCTATGACTACAGATGCTGTGAATTATCTTCGTGATGCAAAAGTGAAAATGTTTCAAGTCAGCGAAACCAAAACATATCCTAATTTAGCTAATCTCTATTTTGTGATGAGAAAAGAATTTCACCCTTGGCATTATTCTGGTGGTAAACTCTTAACTGGTTGCTGGACAGGTGTCACTGTTTATCAATATATCAATCAACCATAATCCGACAGTCACGAATCACATAGATTCCTCAAAATTGATCTGAAGCTTCTGCTGTAATACACATATTTTTATTTTATTTTATTTCATTATGACCAAATAGAGAAAAAGGGTGAGGGTGGGTGACGGGGAATTTATCAATAAAATTTAACGAAAACTTAATTTTTTTCGAAGAATTTTCAAGAGCTATCACGACATATTTCGATCTTGCTCAAAGGTCTCATCAGGTGCGTTTAGAGTAAGCTTTACACATATGATTTTTGATTATTTCATTCAAACGAAAATTATTTCCTCCAAATAAAAATATAAAACAATGAAATCAGCAAACAATTGTCTATTCTGGTTACGTGGTGCTACCACAGTTATGATTTCGACTCAGCTAACAGTATCATGAGATCGATTTAGTCTCGTGTCGAATCCTGTAGGTTGTCGAGGATCAAGCGCTAAAATTCAAGACCACTACTCTATTTCCGATCACTCACCTGAAGACAAAGTCTATTAGTTCGAGCATGGTTTAGTTTGTGTAAATTTATCAAGATTCTAAAAAGAAGTGTAATAGAATTTCGAAAGAAGAACCATTTCTTTTTGACGCTGGTAGATTTTTATTTTTTAGCTCAATTTGTCCCTTTTTATCCGTTTTCGAGGTTCGAGATCCCTTAGTAGAAAATGAATTTTCGAAAAAAATAACAGTTGGTTGTTCTGGGTGTTAGTTGCAGGATGTGAGTTTGAGTCAACCATTCGTCTACACTTAAACCTACACTCACACCCTTATTCGATAAATATTTTAACACAAAAAATATAAAGTTTCGAATGATGTAGTAATATGAGAACTTTTCGGCACGACAAATCGAGCCAAAAGTCGATTAGAGTAATACATCATCTTAAGTCGAAGTACCTGAAAGAACTTAAAAATATTTTGCAAGTATGTGAAATGTATCCTGAACTTTTTAAATCCTTTCTCTACAGTATGAGTCTAGGATGAATATGTGGTCTGCATGAAAAGAAGGCACATATTCACATGCTTTGATCTTATGGATACTCTAGCAACATTGGAAATCAAAAATACTTATGTGCTATATAAAATTGACTAATGAGAGTGTTGTTTTGTGTGCTCGGAACTAATTTTGCTGTGTATTTATAGTTATGAAGTTCATGGGCTTTTTCAACTTATATACATTTACATAAATCAACCAAACGTGAGATATGCATCTGAAAAGCAGTTTCTTTGGCATCAATGCGCTCGTCATTGAATGTATTTATTCTATTTTTGACGTCGTATGTCTCTCATATTGTTACGAGGAGAAAATGTACACTAATATTTGCATAAACGAAATGATCGTCATTTGATTTCACAAATGAAAAATAACAAGCAGTTCATCGTTTAACATCGAGTTTTTACAAGTCAATGACTCATTCAATCGACCACATCATAACTTTTTGCTCACAACAATCAATTGATGCAATTTCGTTTTGATAGTCGGTAACATAATTATTAGTGAAAATTGTTCCTAAATTGACACAAAAATCTTATGTAAGAGTATAATAATTTCTATTATGACATATGAAATGAATCATACATTTTGACATTTATTCAAATTTTACTTGTTGATCTTGAGTCGCTCGTCGAATGATAGATTGCAAGGACAACATGTTTTATAGAGAGAAAATATGAAACAACTGAAAAATGCTGAGTACTTCGAATCGAACGCAGCTAATGAGTGTAGACGGTTAATAACGAAGATGTCAATAGAAAAAACGGAATATCCCGCTCGCGATAGATGTGTTTGGAAAATCGTTTAAAAATTGTTTCAAACTGAGTGACTGTACTTCATACATGTCAAACTTAAAAACTGAATTCAACTATTCAATAATTCTATGAGTATTCATTAGGGAGAGCACTTTCCCTCGTTTAACAGATCTTTCACTTCAGAGTCGCAGCGTAGGAGCAAGAAGCGCGTCTCTGTGTACACAGTAATTCCAATTAAGTGTGTCATGTTTGCGTTAGCGTTGAAGAAAAGTCACGGCTTTTCGTATTAGCAATAACAATTACAGTTAATGCTTCAGCATTATTGAAAAGTGCCACCCCGTCATGGTCATTCAAGTATCCCAGGCAATACCTGTAGCATCATATGTAATACTTGTAGCGTCTCTGAATAATGGAATAGTTAAATATATGAAATACTCTTCAAAAATTAAATTCAACTAGAGCGTTTGACACGATTAAAAATCTGAGAACAAATGAATAAATACTACAACAATCTTTTCGTGGTTTTTTTTCATAAGCTAGTCTCTAATTTTTGATACAGCAACATATTAAATACCGAATAAGTTTCGATTTCAGTGATACTGGCTCAACAGGTAAATCTAAATCCAAACATTTGTTTATTATCTACATAAAAGTTTTCGTGTTCTTGAAAGTTGAATATTTCAAATATCATTGATTTAATCTCTACAATGAAGGGCTTAACTTGTTTTGGGTCTCTATCAGTAGACAATTGAGATAATAATCTATGTCAATATTTTTGTTCTTCTGAATAAAAGACGAAGTTTTTTTCTATTATTGTGTTTATCGAATATCAAACAGGCAGTTATTCATCCTTTGTACAGCAGCATCATTGTTTTTTCATATTTCTGACTAAAATCAAAAGGAAATGATAATTGTACGGTACGTAGTGAGGCAGAACTTATATTTATTTCACCTAGTACTTTTCTAATTATCAATAACTACTAAGATCTATTGGTTTAACGATCAGCGTTTTTAGCAAGAGTTATCAAAATCTTGGAAATGTGCTCTGAATTAGTTATTTGAGATGTTACTTGTGCCATGAAACTTCCTATTTTGTAAAATTCAATGATCCAAAAATATGTTATTCAAAAAAAATTCATTGTTAGAGACTCGTTTATTATGGACTGTACTGAATAACAAATACTTCACTCACATTATTTGCTTATTTTAGTACGATGCAAGATATTAAGAGACGACAATTGATTTTTACATTTGTTCGTATGTAAAAACAAGCTGGTTTCTATTCTTTTATTTTCCATTTAGACTCTGGATAATTCATATGGTTCTAACTACAATAGAATGCTCATTAGCCGAAGTTGATTTCGTTGAAGTGTTAGATGAAGCCCATCATGTACCCATCATTCGAAAGCCAAGAGTTAATGTTTTTATAGCCAAAGTGGCACGGAACCGTACAACGATGTTTCATCGACATAAAGAAAATACTGTTTATGTTGTCATTGCTAGCTCACGCTGCATAACTCAGCTACTCGGATCGAATATTTTACCACAAGAATATACAGCTGGAGATTGCTTTGCTGGAGAGTACCGTTTAAAACCCATAATACATCGTGTTGAATGTCTAGACGAAAGTCCGTCCGATGCTTGGTTTGTTGGCACAGAGATATTGCACAACAAACAATTTCTGTCTGGTACTATTCTCCAGCATAATCATTACAGCTATATTTCAAACATAAATCTTCCTGGATGTCGTGCATATCGACTTAAACTGATTCCTAATGAGACAACTGACTTTCATTTACTTAATTTCTCTGGTGTTATTGTTTCACTGGCAAACACTCATTTGGAAATCAATAGCGGAAAAATCGATCAAAACTTTCCACTAACGTCTGGCACTGTAGAAATGGGATATGTAACCTGGTTTGATGGACCTATTTGGCTTGAAATAAAAAATATAGGTTCCAATAATTATGAGGCTATAATACTGGAATTAGCATAAAAAGTGAAGACATGTAATTTTAACTACCATCATTATAACGATTAATAAAAAAAAGTGTCTTTAAATGAACTGATGTTGATGTCGTAAACACTCG